ATGACATGAGACAAAGTATATGTGAACTGCTGCATGAAAAGTGAATTTACTCTGTAAATCTTCACCCAAATCCTAATTAAAAAAAAAAAGAGAGAGATGGGCAAACTCATTAATAACTATAAACTCACACACACACACACACACACACAAAAGCCCACTGCCACTGAGTTGATTCCAACTCACAAAGACCCTACAGGACAGAGCAGAACTGCCTCACAGGGTTTCCAAGGCTGTAAATCTTTAGGAAAGCAGACTGCCACATCTTTCTCCTGCAGAGTTGCTGGTAGGTTTGAAGAACCAACCAACTTGCTAACAGCCAAGTATCTGACCTATGCATCACCAGGGCCTCTATTAATAACGGTAGCAATGCAAACTGAAAAATGAAATATCACTTTACATTCACTACACTGGTAAAAATTAGAAGGCTGAGAAATTCCAATGCTGGAAAGGGCATGGTTGCATATACAGGAATTCTCACGCATGCTTAAAAAAGGAGCTCTGGTGGTGCAGTGCCTAAGGCACTTGGCTGCTAACCAGAAGGTTGGTGGTTCAAACCCACCGGCTGCTCTGTGGAAGGAAGATGGGGCAATCTACTTCCATGAAGTTTTACCACCTTGGAAACTCAATGGGGGGGTCACTATGAGTCAGAATCGACTCGATGGCAGTGAGCATGCTTGTAAGTACAGCCGATAGCAGCTGTTCCGGGACCAACCTTACACTCCTTAGTCACATTAGATTGGATGCATTCTCTGTCATCCTTAAGAGAACATGGACAAGGATGTTCACTGCAGGTCAATCTGTAGTGGCAGGAGAAAGGCAATCTGGATGTTCAGATAAGTAATCTGGCAATCTGGCTAAGTACAATGAAATGGATTCAGACAGAAGATGGAGCAGTTGAGTAAGAAAGAAGACATATACATAGTTATACCATTAACATAAACTAAAAACACATGTACACAAAACAGTGCCACTCATTTTAAGACTTCCCAACAATAAAAGGATCTGTGTGCTATGGGAGGGAAGGGAATGGAAATAAAGGGAATAACTTAACAAGTGAATAGCTTAGTATGGAGCATTGATGATAATGTGGCAAGAATGAAAAAACCGACTAACTCAATGCAGAGATCTAACAAAGTCCTCAAAAAGAAAAAATATTGAGCCAAGGAGATTCTCAATCACAACCATGTTACCAATTAGCTTGCCATCCACAAACACAGGCAACACTGGGAACGAAGTCAGTACCCGAGTCTCCAGGATGCCAATGGCTATGGCCTGGGTGCTTCTGGCTTCCAACAACTGCTGCCTGGTATCTTCCAAATTCTGCTCGGCAACAGTTTTCTGTTAAGTTCAAAGAAGAATAAAAGAAAGTCATTATTTCTCCAAAGAGTAAATGTTTATTGATATTTACACAACATACTATGATTTGTGCTAAGGCACAAGTGATATAAATATATTTTAAAAATAACATTTATCGAGGCAAAATTCATATATTATAAAGTATATACATAAAGTATATAGAGATAATATTGACACAGTTCCTTGCCCTATGGCTGGGATAAAAGGCTAAGGCCAAGAAAGTTTAAGACAGAGTGAAATACGTGCCCTGGAGAGGAAGCACAGGGTGAAAGGTACTCTGCCTCAGGGAGTGGGTGGCTGGAGGATGGGGAGCATCGCAGGCAGAGGGAGCAGTATGACCAGAGGGATGGAGACATGAAACAGGCTGTGGCCTTTGGGGAACTAACAGTGGTTAAAAGCCAAAGAGATGGTGGTTTTCTGTCAAGAACTGAGTCTACAAAGTTAGACAAAAGACCAAATCATAGAGGCTCTCTATGCTGTAAAAAGGAGTTTTGCAGACAGTATTTTCCAAAGTGGGGTCTTCCAAACACTGGCATTATACTTACCTTGGATATTGCTAAACTTAAGACCTTACTCCAGGCCTACTGAAACCAGACTTTCTAGGGGTGGGGCCAGAGATCCATGTTGTAGGTGCTGTCAAGTTGATTCCAGCTCACAGTGACCCATGTCCCACAGAACCAAACGCTGCCTGGTCCTGCACGATCTTTACAATCCCTGCTACGCTTGAGCCTATCATTGCAGCCACTGTGTCGATCCATTTTACAGATACATACTTTGAACAAATTCCCCAAGTAATTCTTACATACACTAATTTAAAATTAGAGAAACACTGTAATAATAAAGGTGATGGCATAATAATATATTAATACATGACATACAGGAGCTCTGGTGGCATGGTGCCTAAGGCATATGACTGCTAACCAGAAGGTTGGCGGTTCAAACTCACCAACTGCACCACAGGAGGAAGATGGGGCAATCTACTTCCATAAAGATTTACCGCACTGGAAACCCAATGTGAGTTGTGATGAGTTGGACTCGATTTGATGGCAATGAGGTTTTTTTTTTTTATTATTATTTAATAACCAAAAGAACCTTATGAATAGCAGCAGAACACTGTCTGATACAGTGCTGGAAAATGAGCCCCTCAGGTTGGAAGGTGCTCAAACTGCAACTGCTGAAAATCTGCCTCTTCAAAGTAGAACTGACTTCGAAGATGTGGATGGAGTAAAGCTTTGAGGACCTCCATGTGCTGGTGTGGCATGACTCAAATTGAGAAGCAGTGGCTGCAAACATTCATTAATAACTGGAATGTGGAATGTACCAAGTATAAATCCAGGAAAACTGGAAATTGTCAAAAATGAAATGGAATGCATAAAGATTGTTATCTGAGGCACTGCTGTTGTTGTGGTTAGATGCCACTGAGTCAGATCCAAAATAGCGACCCTACGTACAAATGAACACAACACTGCCCTGGCCCTGGGCCGTCCTCACGACATTGCTATCTCAACTGCTGATGCATCCACTGTATCAAACCACCCTGTGAAGGGTCTTCCATTTTTTCGCTGCCCCTCTACTCTACCAACCAAGCATGATATCCTTCTCTAGGGGCTGCTGTCTTCTGAAAGCAGGACCAAAGCATGACAAATGCAGTCTGGTCGTTCTCACTTCGATGGAGCATTCCGGTTGTACTTCTTCTAAGACAGACTGGTTCATTTTTCTTGCAGTCCGCGGTATAGTCAACACTCTTTGCCAATATCATAACTCAAAGGCAACAATTCTTCTGTGGTCTGCCTTATTCATTGTCTAGGTTTCACATGCATAGGAAGCAATTAAAATTACCATGGCTTGGGTCAGGCATCTTAGTCTTCAAAGTGACATCTTTGCTCTTTAACACTTTAGAGAGATTTTTTGCAACAAATATGCCCAGTGTAATACATCGTTTGATGTTTTGACTGCTATTTCCATGGGCACTGATTGTGGATTCAAGTAAAATGAAATCCTTGATAACTTCAATCTTTTATCCATTTATCATGATGGTGTTTACTGGTCCAGTTGTAAGGATATTTGTTTTCTTCATCTTGAGGTATAAGCCACACTGAAGGCTGTTTAGATCTTCATCAGTGCTTCACACCCTCTTCACTTTCAGCAAGCAAGGTTGTATCATTTGCATATTGCAGGTTGTTAATGAGTCTTCCTCCTATCCTGATGCTGTATTCTTCCTCATGTAGTCCAGCTTCTTAGATTATTTAGATTATTTGCCCTTTCCTGATTTTAAACCATGCTGAATCCCTTGTTTTGTTACAACAACTGTCTCTTGGTCTGTGTAAAAGTTCTTCATGAGCACAATTAAATGTTTTTAAATTCCCATTCTTCTCAATGTTATCTATAATTTATTAGGATACACACAATCAAATGCATTAGTATAGTCAATAAAACACAGGTAAACATCTTTCTGGTATTCTTCCGCTTTTAGCCAATCTACCTGACATCAGCAGTGATATCCCTCAGTCCGTGTCCTCTTCTGAATCTGGCTTGAATTTCTGGTAGTTCCCTGTTGATGTACTGCTGCAATCATTTTTAAATTATTTTCAGCAAAATAATTACTCATGTTAAATGGACTGCTGGTATTGGCCATTTTGAATTGGACAATCACACAGTCTACTATAATAGAGATGATACACTGAAGAGTAAGGGTGTTGCATTCATTGTCAAAAACATGTCAAAAACAACATTTCAAGATCTATCCTCAAGTACCATGCCATCAGTGATAGGACAATATCCGTATGTCTAGAAGAAAGACCCTATGTCTAACGAGGAAGAGTCATTACAATCTGCAATATGCAGATGACAAAACCTTATTTGCTAAAAGTGAAGATAACTTGAAGCATTTACTGATTAAGATCCAAACAGCCTTCAGTGTGGCTTATACCTCAAGATGAAGGAAACAAATATCCTCACAAATGGACCAGTAAGCAACATCATTATAAGTGGATTAGTTTGAATAATGGTGTTGGAGAAGAATATTGACTAGATTATGGACTGCCAGAAGAATGATCAAATCTGTCCTCAACGAAGTATAGCCAGAACGCTCCCTAGAAGCAAGGATGGCAAGACTGTGTCTCACGTCATTTTGGACAAGTTGTCAGGAGGGACTAGTCCCAGACAGAGACTTCATGCTTGGTAAAGTAGAAGATCAGTGAAAAAGGAACACTCTTAACAAGATAGATGACACAGTGGTTGCAACAATGGGCTCAAACACAGGAACAACAGTGAGGAGGGTGCAGCCCTGGGCAGTGTTTCATTCTGTTGTATATACAGTAAGTATGAGTTGAAATTGACTTAATGGCACCTAATAGCAAACACAGAGTTGCTGGAAACCCTAAAGTATAATAGTGGTAGTAAGGACGGAGATATTTAGCTGAAACTAACTGAGTGTCTAATCTAGGATAATCTCCAAGGTTTAAGCTTGGTCATCTTTGTCATGGTGATACCATTCACTGGGATACAAAGAGGAGGAAAAGAATGCAGGAAGATAAGCTCAGAAAGGCTGAGAAAGCAAATTCATGTGCACTAGTGGCTAAAAGGTTCATATGCTCCAAAGTTTTCCTCAGCCAAAAGAGTCTGCTGCCCAAGGCAATTCTTGCTCAAGCCATAGGGTGACTGGCAAATATTCTCCTTGGCCAAAAGAGAGTGCAAAGGGTAGAGAACAGTGTGGTAAGATAAGACAACCCATGTGACAGAAATCACTAAGTGTGGTTTACTGGTCATCAGGATGTTAACTGTTCATGTGCATCTCTGAACAAATCCCACTCTAGGAAACACAGATCTAATCTATAGCGACAGAAAGATTAGTGATTGGTAGGGGCTGGGAGGAGGGACTGAATGGAAGGTGCACAGAAGAACCATTTGAAGTGACAGAATTTTCCTACTCTATTTCCTGGCTCAGAAAACTGAGCCACACACACACAGGAGACAGAAGGCTACCCTCGCTGTAAGGAGGAGACCTCCAAGTTGGAGACAGCTCTCTCCTCACCAAGATGTCTTCTGGCTCTTCAGCTCTAAATCCTCAGGATTTTATGAAATCCTAAGGGTCACCACTGCCTTTCCAACCCAGTTGTATAAAGAGAGGTAAAATGACCTCTTTTAAGAGTTCTTGCACACGCTCTTCCCCCAGTAAGTTCTGTTCAAGTCTCTTCTCCAAGGATGCAACCTTCTGCAAATGTATGAGTTTTTCTTTCTCTTGAGTTTCAGCAGTGACCTACAGGTAAAAGCAGAGGAGATCACATTATACCATAAACTCTCTCTCCTTCACTTCCTGTCTGCTCTGGGACCAGCATGTTTCCCTGAAATTCTGTTCTTACTGCATCCTATGAGAACATAAAAGATGCAAAGTCAGAACCCAGCAACCTTCAGCAATCCAGGTGAGACTTTGTGCAGCAAAAGGCAAATTTAGCTACAGACTTGCCCACTATAAAAGATGTTAAGATTTGAAGTCAGAAGCCATAAATTTGTACCCATCTATTACTAACTCTGGTCACTCTCCCTAATTCTTCTTTGCTGGGTTCCTCCTCCTTTACCTGGCATTTAAATTCTGAAGTTCCTCAAGAACTAATCCTAAGCCTCACCTCCTCTTCCCTCTCTCTAGTTTCTCTTATTCATACTGGTGGCTTCAATTACTGTATCTTATACCACATTAAACCAAAGCAACCTCACTGCCATTGAGTCGATTCCAACTCACAGCGATCCCCATTGGGTTTCCAAGGAAGTAAACCTTTACGGAAGTAGAGTGCCCAATCTTCCTTCCACAGAGTGGCTGGTGGTTTGAACTGCCAGTCTTCTGGTTAGCAGTCAAAACCGTAGGCACTACGCCACCAGAGATCCATCACATATCATATTAAAAAAAACCCAAACTCACTGCCATTGAGTGTATTAGACTCATAGCGACCCCTCCTTGGGTTTCCAAGGTGATACCTCTATGGGAGTAGATTGCTCAATCTTCCTTCTGAGCAGCAGCTGATGGGTTTGAACCACAAGCCTTCTGGTTAGCAGTCAAATGCCTTAGACACTATGCCACCAGCCTTCCTATATATTGTATAGTGACTCTGTAATTTCAAATAATCCCAACCTCTCCACTGTATTCCGTTCTTATTATCCATGGCCGGCTGGCTAAGCCCACCTGGATGTATTAAAACTCAAACTGAATGTAGTCAAAATGGAATTGATGCTTCTGTGCTCAGCAGTATGGCAGACCAAAGTACTGTGACTAACACTCCTGTTCAAAGTAACAACTAATGCTAAACAAGTATTAAAAAAATCTTTTATAATGTACTGGTAAACCAGTGGACACTCTAGGAAACACAGATCTAATCTATAATGACAGAAAGATTAGTGATTGGTAGGGGCTGGGAGTAGGGACTGAATGGAAGGTGCACAGAAGAACCATTTGAAGTGACAGAATTTTCCTATCTCAACTGTGATAGTAGTGGTTTCATGGCTGCGTATTTGTCAAAGCTCATCGTATTACACATTTGAAATGTGTGCATTTTGTTACATGTAAATCATAGAATTGGTTTTAAAAAATAGAAAGAAACTTCCTTAACTCACTGCCGTCAAGTCAGATCTGACTCATAGCAACCTCTCCTTGAGTTTCCAAGGCAGTATCACTACGGAAGAAGACTACCCAGTCTTCCCGAGGAGTGCTTGGTGGGTTTGAACCTCCAGCCTTCTGGTTAGCAGTCAAATGCCTTAGGCACTATGATAGCAGAGGTCCCAGGAAGTAAACCTTTCCAAGGATAAAAATCTATAGAAAACATATACTTCCTGGTAAAACACTGATGTTTAGGAATAAGACAGGGCTGTCTGCCTTTAGAAATTATGGCCCTAAATCCAGCAGAATAAAGCAAGGGAAAAAAAAGACTTAAGAACCGGAAAGAAACAAAACTGTCATTATTCACAGATTATATGACTGCCATTAAAATAACTCGAGAATCTAGAGATTCATTATTAGAGTTAATATAACAATACAAAAAATACACTAAAGTAATAGCATTTTTACATGCTAGCAACTAGAAAAAATAATTTTAAAATGACACATTTTACAATTGGTGTAAAAATTAAAGCACCTAGGAATAAATTTGGAAGATGGGGCAATCTACTTCAGTAAAGACTTACTGCCTTGGAAACCCACTGGTGACGTGACTATGAGTCAGAATCAACTCTATGGCCGTGGGTTAGGAATAAATTTTACAGCAGATAACAAACCTTTATGAAGAAAATTACAGAACCTTATTGATAGTTATAAAAAATAAAAACCAGCACTAAATAGCTGGAGAGATAGACCACATCCTTGGGTAAGAAAACGCATATAAAGCAATCACTGTTCCCCAAATGGATCTGTAGATTCAAAGCAATTCCAATCAACAACCAACAGGTTTTCTGAGGCGTTTACCAAGCTGTTGTGTGGAAGAGCAACGGGTCAATAATATTCAAGATACTCACAAAAAAGCACTAGGTAGTGAGACAGTGTATAATACTGGTACAAACACACAGTGGCACCTATCAGAAAACCTAGAAATACTCCCACATACATATGGAAACCTGAATCGTGCCAAAACCGGAAGTGCAGATCAGTAAGGAAGACAAAGAGCACTGGTAGGTACAAAGGTTAAGTGCTTGAGCTGCCAACTGAAAAGTTGGTGGTTTGAACCCACCAGCCACTCCACAGGAGAAAGATGTGGCAGTCTGCTTCTGTGAAGAGTAAAGCCTTGGTTGACTGCCTCCTCATATGGGGCAGTTCTACTCTGTCATAAAGGGTTGCTATGAGTAGGAATCGACTCAACAGCACACTGCAATAACAGGAAAGAACAGGTTTTTCAATAAATGATAACAATAAAAAAAAAGTGAATCCTTTTTTATAACAAAATGGAATTCTATGCATAATAAAGATTACTATATAAAAGGCAAAACTATAAAACTTTTACATAATAATAGAGATGAATAAAGTCATGATCCTGGATAAGGAAGGATTGCTTTAAAACAATAAAAACACAAACTTAAATTTGACTTATATTAAAATTAAGAGCATATATTCATCAGATGAAATCATGAAGACTGTGAAGACAAGCCAAAAACCAGAAGAACGTATTTGCTTGGCAAAGACACATGGATGGCATCCGAGATATATATAAAGAACTGCTAAAATCAATGAGAAAAAGAAAACTCAGTAGAAAAATGGACAAAAGATTTGAATTGGCACTTCATAGAAAAGCATGAATGACCAATAAACATTTGAAAAGATGATCAACCTCATTAGTAATATGAAAAAAGCAAATTATAATGATAGCAGGATAATATTTAATACCCACTAGAATGTAAAAATGAAAAGTCTGATTATACCATGTTTTCAAAGAAGAACAACCCAAACTCTTAGACATTGATGGGGAAGTATTTAAATTATTGCAACTACTATGAGAAACAATTCAGCAATATCTCATAAAGTTGAAAATGTACAAAGCTTGAGACTCAACCTTCTCACACGTCATAGATACCTCAGAGTTAACTCTTGGCTCAGGTATAAACAAATATTCATAGCAGCCTTGTTTGAAATAGAAAAAAAAGAAAGAAAACCACCCTAGTTCCAAGTCATAGCAAACCTATGTACTAGAGAACGAAACACTGCCCGGTTGTGCACCATTCTCACAATCATTATTAATAAAGACAAGAACTACACACAAAAAAAACCTGACTCCATATCCATGATCTTTACACTAAAATTGGCCTTGCACTCACCAAAATTCACTGCCGTTGAGTCGGATCTGACTCACAGCAACCCTTCCTTGGGTTTCCAAGGTGTAGAAGTAGATTGCCTTCTCAGAAGTAGCTGGTGAGTTTGAACTGCCAGCCTTCTTGTTAGCAGTCAAGTGCCTCAGGCACTATGCCACCAGAGCTCAGGCTCTCTTAGCCAAATGATTGTCAATACCACCACTCAGTTGCTCAAGCCAGAAACCCAGAAATCATCCCTAAAACTCCTTTTCTTTTGCTCCCCTTTTTCCTTCCTCTTCCCCTTGAGCAGAGAGTAGCTAAAGCAAATGGAAGAAATGACAAGATAAAAGAACTGAACAGAAGATTTCAAAGAGCAGTTCGAGCAGACAAAGCCAATTACTATAATGAAATGTGCAAAGACTCAGAGTTAGAAAACCAAAAGGGAAGAGCACGCTCAGCATTTCTCAAGCTGAAAGAACTGAAGAAAAAATTTAAGCCTCAAGTTGCGATATTGAAAGATTCTATGGGCAAAACATTGAATGATGTAGGAAGCATCAAAAGGAGATGGAAGGAACACACAGAATCACTGACCCAAAAGGAACTGGTCGATGATTACCCATTTCAGGAGATGGCATATGATCAAGAACCAATGGTACTGAAGGAAGAAGTCGCAGCTGCACTGAAGGAATTGGTGAAGAATAAGGCTCCAGGAATTGACAGAATACCCACTGAGATGTTTCAACAGATACCCCGCTGGAGGCACTCACTTGGTTATGCCAAGAGATTTGGAAGACAGCTACCTGGCCAACTGACAAGAAGAGATCCACATTTGTACCCATTCCAAAGAAAAGTGATCCCACAAAATGTGGAAATTATAAAACAATATCATTAGTATCGGATGTAAGTAAAATCTTATTGAAGATCATTCAAAAACAGTTACAGCAGTACATTGACAGAGAACTTCCAGAAATGCAACCTGGATTCAGAAGGGGATGTTGAATGAGGGATATCATTGCTATGTCAGACAGATATTGGCTCAAAGTAAAGAATACCAGAAAGATGTTTACTTGTGTTTTATTGACTATGCAAAAGCATTTGATTGTGCGGATCATAACAAATTGTAGATAACACTGAGAAGAATGGGAATTCCAGAACACTTAATTGTACTCACGAGGAACCTAGACATAGACCAGGAGGCTGTCATTCAAACAGAACCAGGGGACACTGCATGGTCTAAAATCAAGAAGGGAGTGCATCAGGATTGTATCCTTTCACCATACTTATTCAACCTATATGCTGAGCAAATAATCTGAGAAGCTGGACTATATGAAGAAGAACATTGCATCAGGATCGGATGAAGAATCATTAACAACCTGCGATATGCTGATGACACATTTTGCTTGCTGAAAGTGAGGATGACTTGAAGAACTTACTGATGAAGACTGAAGAATACAGTTTGTAGTATGGATTACATCTCAATATAAAGAAGACAAAAATCCTCACAACTGGACCTATAAGCAGCATCACAATAAACAGAGAAAAGATTGAAGCTGTCAAAGACTTCACATTGCTTGGTTCTACAATCGATGTCAATGGAAGCAGCAGTCAGGACATCAGACAACATATGGCGCTGGGCAAGTCAGCTGCAAAGGACCTCTTTCAAGTGTTGAAGAGCAAAGATGTCTCCTTGAGGACTAAGGTGTACCTGACACAAGCCATGGTATTTTCAATTGCCTCATATGCATGTGAGAGCTGGACAATGAAAAAAGAAGACAGAAGAATCAATGCTTTTGAGTTGTGGTACTGGCAAAGAATGCTAAAGTACCATGGACTGCTAAAAGAACTAACAAATCTGTTCTGGAGGAAGTGCAGCTGGAATGCTCCTTGGAAGCGAGAATGGCCAGACTTCATCTCACCTACTGTGGTCATGTTATCAGAAGGGACCATTCCCTCGTGAAGGATGTCCTGCTTAGTAAGGTGGAGGTCGACGAAAGAGGGGAAAGCCCTCAACGAGACGGACTGACACAGTGGCTATGGCAACAGGGTCAAGTATAGCAAGGATCATGGAGCTAGTGCGTGACTGGGTGGTATTTCGTTCTGCTGTTCATAGGGTTGCTATGAGTTGGAGATGACTCGATGGCACCTAACAACAACAACAAACCCTTTTCATATCCATTACATTAGCTGGTGGGTTGATCTTCTCAATATTTCTAAAATCTGCCTACTCTCCCACCATCTTCACTGCTACTCTTATCAAAGTCACCATCATCTCAATCTGGGACAACCGCCAGAACTTCCGAACTGGTCTTCTTCTATGGAAGACCCTTTCAGTATGTTTTCTCTGAACAGCCAGAGTAATCCACTCTTCCCTTTAGTGTGTGTCACCCTTTTTGGCTTCTTCCAGCTCTTGGAATGTGCTAATCATTGTCTTTGCCCCAAGGTTTTTTTTTTCCAACATGCCTAGGCAGGACGACACAGCTCAGGTGTTATTTCCTCAAGGGAAAGTATTCTACAATTCTGAGAGTAGATCTTATATCTGTTACAGAATCTCGTAACATCCTGTATTTTTCCTTCACAGCAATCATCATAGTTTGTAATATATTTATTTATCACTAATATCTGACTTCCTCTCTAGTATAGAAACTCCATAAAGGCAGGGATACTATCTGTTTTCCTCACTATAGTATTCCTAATACCCAGCACAGAGCCTGCACACAGTAAAAAAAATGCTCAATAAATATTTTTAGAATGAATGAGGGAACTTACTGAGACCACAATACAGACTTCCCTCCAATCCCTAATACGTGAGTCTACTATGAAAGTTAAAGTTGTGTGTCAACTTGGCTGGGCTGTGGCTTTGAGTGCTTGGCAGCAGGATGTAATTATCCCCCATGATGAGACTGTAATCACCTCCAAGGTGGAATTTGCTGTGAGCAGCTAAATAATTGTCCTTGGGGTCTGGCCTGCTTCCAGGATATATGGAGAAACTTTGATGAAGATCTCTAGCTTTTTGGCACATCTGGATCTGGCCATTTGGCTGAGTCTTCATCACCAGTTCCTGGACTTGAACCAGTGGCCAGATATGTTGCCTACTGATCTCAAGATTATGCCACTTTACCAGCCGACCTGGGATTCATCAGCCTCAGTAGCCAGCAGCTGCCTAAGTTAGGAGATGCCTCCAGCTGCAGTGGGCCTGGAACAAGAGGTAGAGCTGAAGGCCAAGGTTGAGGGGCCTTCACCCAGCTGGGCACTAGAGCTGGCATTCTGAATTTGGACTTCTAGCCTCCTAACTGTAACAGAAAAAAATCTTGTTTGTTAAAGCCATCCACTTGGTATTTCTGTTACACCAGTACTAGAGAACTGAGACATCTAACATCTTCCCCCCTCCTCAAATGCACTCTGTACCTTTCTGCCTTCTCTGCCTCCTCCCGTCTACCCATCCTTGAGTTTCCAGTCCTCCAGGAAGAGTTCTATTACTCCTGGGCTGGAAATACACTCTCCCTTTGGCATATCATTTGTATTTAAAAAATCTATTTCATTTATTTGGGACTTGTTTCTGAATTTTTTCTATGGTTACAGAAGGTCTGAGCTCTATAATGAAACAGTAAAACTCTGAGGGCAAAAAATGTGTGTGCATAACTCTTAAATTCACTAAGAAAGCTTGTATCACCCTCATTCATGCACATAATATATATTTACTGGGTGCTCCTTGTTGTTAAGGAACAAAGTGAGTAGAATAAGCATAGTTTCGGAGTAAGACTTGGGTTAGAATCCAGCTCTGTCACTTACTATATAACTATGAACAAAATACTAAATCTCTCTGAGTTTTGGTTTATGTATCTGTAAGAAGGACAATACCTATCTCAGAAGGATATATAGACTTCTATTTACTTACATTTACTTCTATTTACTGTGTCATGGTTGTATCCTTTCACCATCCATATTCAATCTGTATGCTGAGCAAATAATCTAAAAAGATGGACTATATGAAGAAGAATGTGGCATCAGGATTGGAGAGAGACTCACTAACAACCTGTGATATGAAGATGACACAACCTTGGCTTGCTCAAAGTGAAGAAGATTTGAAGCACTTACAGATGAATATCAAGGATTACAGTCTTCAGTATGGATACACCTCAATAAAGAAAACAAAAATCCTGAACATTGAACCAATAAGCAACTTCATGATGAATGGAGAAAAGATTGAAGTTGTCAAGGATTTCATTTTACTTGGATCCACAATCAACGCCCATGGAAGCAGCACTCAAGAAATCAAATGACATATAGTATTGGGTAAATCTGCTTGAAGTGTTAAAAAGCAGAGGTGTTCACTTTGAGGACTAAGGTGGCCTGACCCAAACCATGTTATTTTCAATCAACTTATATACATGTGAAAGCTAGATAATGAATAAGGACGAGCAAAGAAGAACTGACGTTTTTGAATTGTGATACTGGCAAAGAATACTGAATATACCACAGACTGCCAAAAGAATGAACAAATCTGCCTTGGAAGAAGTACAGCCAAAACGCTCCTTAGAAGTGAGGATGCTGAGACTTCATCTCATGTACTTTGGACATGTCATCAGGAGGGACCAGTTCCCGGAGAAAGACATCATGGTTAGCAAAGTAGAGGGTCAGGGAAAAAGAAGACCCTTAACAAGATGGACCGACATGGTGGCTGCAACAATGGGCTCAAACATAGCAACAATTGTGAGGATGGCACAGGACTGGGCAACGTTTTGTTCTGTTCATAGGGTTGCTGTAAGTTGGAACTGACTTGACAGTACCTAACAACAATGTGACAAAGATACAATCCTGGTCATGTCAACCAAGATTATTACATTTTCTTACGCTCCAGGTCTATCATGTGGTACTTTAAGGAATATCTCTCTAGGTCAAGTAGTGTATTTTAAGAATTCCTGTCAGGACAATACTGACCTCTTCTGTTAAGCAACTCTTGGTCAGCTAGGGTGGCCATTTCTATCTGAATGCAGCCTGGCTAGACCAGGAGGTAGGGCAATGTGGACTGCTCAGTGTGCACTTATTAGCAGCCATTATTAGGCTGAAGTTTCTGATAGAACTAGTTTTTGATCCCAATTCATGAATTCTCAAAATCCAGGTCCACTCCCAGTACTCAACTTACCTTTTGCAATTCAATGGAAAGCTGCTGAATGAATGGCTGGAGCTCTTGACCCTTTTGCTCCAGGGCTGGCATCTTACTTTCTGCACCTGTTTTTGAAGTTGTCACACGGTCTCTTCATTGAAAGAAAGCAGATAATGAAAAAATTTGGATATCTCATCTAAGAAACATTCTTCCAGAGAAAAAATGGCTCTTCACATGCCAAGGTTGCAAATATTATTAGCCCAACTGAATTATTAATGGAGAACATTCTTTGGTTTTCATTGAAGCAGAAGTCCAGAGAGAAATTATACCCAAGTTTAAGCAAGAAATATTCATCTGCCTTTGGTTACTCAATAGCTGACAAACCAAAATCATAATGAATTGCTCAGAATTCAACTATAGGTGGAGTGATTCTGAGTCTAAGCAGAGGAAGAGAGAAAAGACTGATGAGAGGGTTGACGGGGGTAGTTTCCTGAGCCCTAGGCAGGTGAGGACCAATCCAGAAGCCTTTGCCAGAACTAAGATCAGAAAGTGCTTCAATGAGGCAATGGGGAACGGCAGGTGGGCTATAGCCAGAGCTATACTAAACACCGCATCCCATGGGCCCCACAGACCAAGCAAGAACCTCTGTTCTTCCAGCGTTGAGTAGTGTCTCTGCAATTCTTCTAACTTCCGGCTCAAGTCTGAAGACATCTGATTGGAGATCATTAACTCCTCCTGGGTGTGACTAAGTTCTCTGGTTCGTGCTTCCAACTCCTGCTCCATTTTCCCCAGAGTTTCTTCTTTTCTTAAAAGCTGACACAAAGATGTAAAGTTTCATTGTGCCACTGCTGATAAATACAAGGAAAAAATCTAGACCAATAAGCCAAGCTTTTATAACAATTTTGGGGGATTATAAGGACAAAATATGACCAGTAGTTAAGGAAAAAACAAAATAAAAAGAATAGATTTCAAACAGAACTTTTCCATTTCAATACATTGAAAAATATACAAATGTGATTACTATCAAAGATTACTGGAGTATGCTTATTTGTAATTAAAGAGTAACGACTAGCAAAAGTAGAGTAATCAATCATCTATTCTGCATTTAGCCACTAAAACAAAAATGCATACCAGGTGTTTTACTTTACTTAGTTCCTGCTGCTGGAACCCCTCTAATTCATCCATTTCATCTCTCTTTTGGAAAAGATTCAAACTCTGGTTCTTTATTTCCTGTAGCTGAGCTGTGAGAAACCTGTTTTCCTATTTGGAAAAGAAGAAACCAATTCAGGCAACGAAAACATCAGAAATTTATATTATGCCAGTGGAATTCCTAACTAAAGGAAAATCTTAAGGAAATATAGTATTAGTAGACAATAATACACTGATAATAGGAAGTTTTACAGTAATATGGACCAATACAGAATTATGCACAAATACTTTGAGTTAAAAATAAGTGTTATACTTGTTGATGAATGTTTATAGCAGCATTATTTATAATAGGCCAAAATGGGATAACAACCTACAGGTTCATCAATGGATGAAGAGAGAAACAAAATGTGGTATATGCATACAATGGAATACTGCTCAGACATACAAAGAAACAAAGCACCACTGCACGCTAAAACTTGGATGCACTATGAAAACATCATGTTAACAAAAGAAGCCAGACACAAGTGGTCCACATTGCATGATTCTAATTAAAACAAAACCTGCTAAAGCTGGACCTGTGTAAGGTGGAAACCTGGCAGAGCAATAGGCAAGAGTTAAGATGGAGGAACCCGGACAGAAGAGCAGTCAGCCCCAGGGTTACAGGTGAGGAGAGACAACTCAGGGACCCCCAAAGCAGCAGGCTGGAAGAGCAGGAGAAAGGGAATTAAAAGCCAGGAAGCCAGAGAGAAGAGCAATCAGCCAAAGGGATTAGGTGAAGAGAGGAAACTCAGGCCCGACTAAAGCAGCAGGACCGGAGAACAGGAAAAAGGGGATAAAAGCCAGGAACCCAGACAGAGGAGCAGTCAGCCCCAGGGACAACTAAGGGACGCACAAAACAGCAGGGCAGAAGAGCAGGAGAAAGGGGATTAAAAGCCAGGAAGCCAGACAGAGGTACAGTCAGCCACAGGGACCCAGGTGGGGGTGATACGAGAGGTCTCCAACAGCAAGACAAACGAAAGAGGGGGAGGCCTTTAACGAGATGGATTGACACGGTGGCTGCAATGATGGGCTCAAGTATATATAGCAGGGATTGTGGGGCTGGCGCGGGATCGGGCAGTGTTTTGTTCTGCTGTGCATGGGGTCGCTATGAGTCGGAGATGACTCGAGGGCACTTAACAACAACAACAACAAGATGGAAACCTTGCCAGACCTGAAAAAACAAGGCAGTCCTGTCAAGTTCTGGCTCTCACAGGTTTCACTGCTTATGAAATACTCAGAATAGACAGAGGAGAGGTTAGCAGGAGACAGGGAGCGAGGAAGATGAGTAGTGATTACTTAATGGATACAAACCGTTTTTATGGGGTGATGAAAAAGTTTTGAAAAGAGAGAGCTAGCTGGTGGTTGGATAACATTGTGAATATACTAAATACTACACTGAATTATACATTTTAAAGTGGTTTATTGTTTTTTGCATGAATGTGACCTCAATAAAAAAAACTGAAGTGTTTTCAATGTTAGTTGTGAATATGTGGAACAAGAATAACAATTATTTAAACCTTTAAAGTTCTTAAATTTGATTAGCAATTTCAAATACCCATTTGAATACCCATATGTCTATTCTCAGAGATACCCTGAACTGGCTAAATAACAGGAATAACTAAATAAGACTGAATAACCTTTTTGAAGCTGAACTGATTTCAGTTAGCACGTTGACAAAAATTAGAAATGACTGATGTTAGCAGGTTATAATTTTTTAAATGACAGCTGTTCATGATCAATTGTGATGCAACCTGCTGTTATAGTTTCTAATTCCTCACTGAAGACATTAAAACAATGTAAAAATAACATTTCTGAAAATCAAATTGGTTTCAAAGACCTACACAGGTATCTTATTATTTTTTACATTTAAAATATTCTCGAATTCATTTCAAGCATTACAATCTTAAAGTGTTTAAGACAAGAAATCTTTAACCTAATCCATTTAAGAAAACTTTAACCTAATCCACACAAGAATATTTAAAAAGACCATTCTTTTTTTTTTTAACTTAGAATTTGTATTTTATTTATTTTTTAAAATTTTTATTATTTTTCTATTTTATTTTGATTTGGGTGAAGATTTACAGAGTAAATTCACTTTCCATACAGCAGTTCACATATACTTTGTCTCATGTCATTGACCACA